AAACGCTTGTAGCGAATCCGGACTCTGTGAGGTATTGATGTACTAATATATTTAAAGTGCTTAAATAATGATATTGTAACATTATACAAATTAAATAAACAAGCATAAGTATATTTACTTTTTGTACCTAAACATATAAATCAAAGATAACTTTGATAAATCACCAAAATTCAGAAAAAAATATATACAAACAAATATTTCAAAGTTGAGATAAACTAGATTTATATTTGAAACTATACTTGAAAGCTTAAGTCGATTGTTATAATTCTCACTAAATATTTAATTCCACTCACGAATCTGTTTTATTATTTACAAGTTTATACGGAATATTCATCGCATATTGCTTATAAAAATACCAATATTCTACAATGTAACACATAAAACTTGATAAACTGTTACAACTTAATTTAGAAAAACTTCTGACGATGTTGAAGCTTTGTAAAATATTTTAATATTTATATAACAATAACAAAACTTCTACACTAAATCTGAAAATATATCAATATGTGAATATGTAATCATTGCTAAGAAATGCATTATTATTGAGATCATTAATGCAGTTATTGTCAAATTTTACCGACTTAATACATTTATTAAAATAAATGGAAATTATGTAGAGAAATTACAAAATGATGAAAATTATAAATATTAAAATAAACTAATTTTATTATACCTATATATTGTTATATAAAAATAATCTATAGAAATAAATTGATCCCATGGAAACAGACGTGACGCAGATTCAATTTCTAAGTTCGCATTCCGTCCTTCCAAACTTACGTTTCTAATTCGATTATGCTAACAATATGAAGTTGATGATTTCATTAAGTACGATGAATGACGAAATGCTACGTAGTAAATTGGCGTTGCGTAATGTAATTTCCTGCTCCATATTTCATATCTCATCGCCGTATGTATTTTATCAACCCTTAGCCGAAACCATTTCGGTCGTAATGGGAAACATGTGAACCGTTTGACCGAGACGTATATTTTTTTTGCACACTCTCTATCTGTCGTTGATGTCGAGTTGCTCGACGAGACAACGCGTCCATTCAATTTAAATTAAATATAGATACAAATGCGTTAGCTCGTTCCATTTCGCAGCAAACGCAAAATAAATGTAAAAAGTTGCAAATTACTAGTCTAGACAAACAACAATGAATAAAATAACTTTTTTCATCATATATTTAAATTCAACAAATACCTTTTTTACTAATATGTAAGAGTGCAAGTTTATCCATTTTATTATTATTATTTAGATCTTGTACTCATTTATCATGGATTCATCGATGTTTTCCTAATACCCCGACTTACGACGATTTGTATTAACATCATTAATTATATCTAATCCTTATTTCTAATCCTTCTGCTAATCCTTTGGCCATTTAAATGCAAGCAAAATAGATCAAATCTTTTGGATGCAATCATTTATAATATATTCTTTCTTATTTGGTAAAACAAATGAAAGTAATTATTTGTATTTCTGAATGACTGTTGAAAATGTAGATGTTTTAGAAAATGGATAAATCATTTCAATGAATAAATAATTCATTCATTCAATGATGATGATAAAAATGTGAAAAATATAATTGTATAAAATTATATTAAAATACGTATAGACAAAGTCAAATGTAAAAAGGTTGAAAAACGTTGGTCTAAACTTTCTGAAGAAATCGTAGAAATTGAGCATTCATTTTTTAGACAAATCTAATTGAAAAAACTTGTATTTTATTGGCAATTTAATTCATTTTCATTTTTATTAATTATATATTAACACATTTTAGTCTATGTAACTTCTGGCTATTACTTTTTTTAAACTATTTTTAATAATAAACATTATAATCATATAAAACTTTCAAAAAAAGTTCGGTTCAAATATTTAAAACAAAGAATAGATATTAATTAATCATGGCTTTCTTAATATCATCCACTTTTAATTATAAACCATTGTATGTTCAATGTTGTCGTATGCAACTACTTAGTATTTATTACATTTAATTTCATTTAATAAGTTAACTTTTCAACATAATCAAATAAAACTTTCAAAAATTACATTACATTTCAAATATTTGTAACAAGGTCTAATATCTAATTAAAAAAGTATTGTATGTTCATTATAATTTTCTTAGTTTGCATTTTTTGTCAATTATAAAACTTTATACTTTAAAAACATAACTTTTCACCTACATCAACATAATGAAATGAAACTTTCAGAAATTGAATCACAGTTCAAATATTTGTAACAAATAATATATCTATTTGTGTGTATAATTAGATTTGCAGCAACGAATATCGCATGAATGTTTTCGCGTTCAACGGCAGCGGCAATTAATACACCTCCAATTTAATTTTCATCTCTGCGTTTTGTACGGAGCGAGAATTAACCGTATAATATGCAGCTTGGATACAATTATTGCGGTTTTAATAACGCTGACCTATATTTTGCGCAGTGCTTCTTGCATCGCGCTAATTAAATATTGAATATAATTCGTGCGCGTTATTCGATAAATTGCGGTAGAACGCAGGATTCGAACGCTCCGCGGAGAATGCATTTGATTAACATTAAATATAAAATATACTACCAAATTCTATTGTTCCCGCATGACTTGCATACGTGACATTACCATTAAATATGTCATTTGAGAATAATTTTAATAAATTTATAATTACGTTATAAAATGTAAACAGAGTTGGATTACAATATGGATAAAAATATTTAAACTTCAATAAACTTCAATTATTAAATCATTATCTTAAATATTTTTTTGTCTTTGGTCTTTGATTCTATCAGAAAATTTTAATCAATTTTACAATTATGAAACAAATTACTAATATTATATATAAGCAAGAATTTTCACAAATCAATTATTTGAATTTCAATTGTTTTTCCTTTTTGTTTCTTTTGAAAATATTAATTGAAATTATTAATGGTAACAATAATCAAATAGAACAGTAGCTGATCTACAAAATTACATCAAAATGCTACTCACAACGCAAGTATTAAGTTAATACTGTTGTTCTCTGTATGTAAGAGTTTTAATTGTACTTACATTATCTGACAAAAGCAGCAATAACTTCGTGACACAAAATACATTTGTTTTCTGTGATTGATTTTGTTTCTCCATACTTCTGCGATTTATTTAACACAAACCTGTGTATTTTATGTTGCCTACCATTAAATATTTTTTTGTATGAAACACATTTAAATATTTGTATTTAAAATGATTATGATCAATTAGACTAAGATATGTGAGGTGCTGCAGATGGCTTAGAAGAAAAAACTAGGCAAAGGCAGAATTGGAAGTTCTGCTAGATTCAGAAAATTTTGTCAGTGAAATGCTGAAGAGTGCAGAGAGCTCGGAGATTGTAGCAGCATACATAAGAGAGGAGCTACTGACTAAAGAAGAAAACAAGAGACAATCAGCATCGCAAGGTAGTACAGTGATACATGTCCTGCGAGCTGACGAAGAAAAAGAGAGGTTTTAGTGCGGTAAGAATCCTATAGTACCACGACTCCACCTGTGGTTTCTATGTAAGGTTTCCTCTCCTCTACAAAAAAAACTAAGATATTTATAATTATGAAGAAATTATTATTCTAACAAATCCTATTTACATGGAAAGTTATGAAAACAAGAGAAATTCGTTCTAAATTAAGAATTTGAAATATATTTTTGTAACTTTGGAACTGCAAAAAAACTGTCGTTCGCTCCAACCGGATTATTAATAACTTAAGTTACAATTGCACAATTCGTATATCTCTCAACGTGTCTCTTCAAATAAATATATATATTTGAATACATCCGACGATATAAACCGCGATTTATCACGAATTTAATATCTGCGAAGTTCGCATTTGCTCCAACACTTTCGTATCTATCTATCTATATACATTTCAAAGAACTGTCGGCTTACTTGAACGCTCTTTACAAATCTTTATTGACTACTCGTAAATTTTAGTGCCATTAACGAATAACCACATTTCTGAATAGCTTTCTTCGTACATTCATTTCATAAAGTTTTCACAAAATTACGAAAAAAAAATAATAATAAGGAAGATGAAAAGTAGGATGTAATTGGAATGAATGAATGGTGGTTAATTAAAAAGTACATGTAGAATGGTTGATTTGATCTTTCACTGTATTTTAAGGCATCTCATATTAATGAATACAATAATAACATTATTAATTAAATATTAATTATTATCCATACGTACGAAATAATAATTAGGCATTGAGATAATAAACGGTGGCGCGCGCGCACAAAAGACACATTCCCTTTGCTTTGCAGTAGAAAATAAAAAGAAATCGTAATAATAGTAGTAGTAGTAGTAATAATAATAATAATGTAAACAAAGAACACAGCTGCCCTTCGGAAAAAAAAATACAAATGTAGTCAACAAAATAAAACATTCTATACTTTATACACATTATTAATTGTTCATCTTCGCATTTTTTTGTTTGCTTGTTTGTTTATCATAACTTAAACATTTAAAAAGGCATTTAATGTCTACAACAATCTGTACAGTAATCGTTATATACCGACATTACGTGGGTATATGGCGTGTCTATATATATATATTTATATGATATAGTTATTATTAAATTATTATTATTAATATGTAAATAGTAATATCAATTCCAATCGAAATAAAAAGAAAGAAAGAAAAATAACATATAAATTTATCGACTATATACAAAGAGAAGGTTTACTTGAATTAAATATAATATTTAGCGTTGATGTGTTCCCTGGCCGATGGAGGCCGCCCTGGTCCCAGGTCCCGTAGGCTACACTTGGCGGCCGCACACGTGGAATGTCTCTTTTTCTTTTCTCTATTATTTATGTATTCATTGTTTATACTTCATCTCACATCTCACAACAACCAAACGAAGCAAATGGTTCATCGAGCGGACCTAACATGCGATAACAGATTTAGCACCGAATTTTATAGACTAGAAATTAACAAAATTATTATCAAAAATACATTCCTTTTTTCCCCAAAGAACAAAATAAAAAAACCGAAAAAAAAAACATCCATCATCTTCTTCATCATCATCATATTCTGATCACTCATGCAAAATACATTCTCTTATCCATCCCTGTCTATCAATTATATCTCGTATATTATATTAGGCCAATGATTGAAACATTTCTTTATTTGGTGATGGGGAGGGGGCGCTCTTGTGAGTTACAACAACAGTAAGCTATGTACTCGGAATCACACATCAATATGGAATAATGAAATAAAAACGAAAACAAATCAAAACGGTGTTTGCGAATTATCGATTTTACGCGGCGAAATCCACTTTGTCTCCCCACGACAAAGCCATCTCGGAAGCGGGCTGCGGACGGAACTCCTCCAAGCAGAAAGGATCGAAGGGTTCCTGGGCTATGCCCATCAGAGGATCGTAGATGAGATCCTGCTGCATGCTATTCACACTATTGTTATTATTATTGTTGTTGTTATTGTTGTTGCACTGTATATCACTGGGAAGGAGCGATTCCAACCAATCGTCTGTATCCATTGGCACAACCGTATTGGACGACGTGAGCACATCATGATTGTTCATTATATGCTGCTGCTGTTGCTGCACTTGATTTTGCTGCTGCTGTTGTTGCTGCTGATGACCGCTCATCTCAATCAACTGACTGAAATCCATATTCTCTAAGGAATCTAAAGTCTCCAATAGATCGCTCGTGTCCAACTCGAGACCCGATTCAGGACTGTTTATCGGGTAAGCAGGCTCATTGGGTTTACCCGAGTTTGGAGTGATCGGCTCCTGGGCGGCGCTCGCTGGTAACTCGCCGTTTTTAATGAGTATTTCGAGCACATCGTCCACAGACTGACTTTTAATGTTAGACTTGACTTCCTTCTTGATGGCTTCCTCGTAAATCGGTGGTGGTTTTTCCTCTTGCACCTCGTTCGCAATGAAATAATTCCTATTCCCTTTGACCCTGTTCAGATGATTCAAAACTAAAGCAGCCGTGTTGTGATTGAGGAGCAGTTGGTTATTCTTCTGGTTTTGAAAGGCGACGTGCTGCTGCTGTTGCAATTTTTGCTGCTCCTCGTTGTGCAGCGCTTGGAAATGTTGCATCTGTATGACCATGGGCTGCTGCTGCATCCTTGCCTGTATGTGTTTCTTCAGCGCGAAGGACTGGGCTTTCGGCTCAACCATCGTCGCTGCTTGCAGCTTCAGCTGCGATAGCGTCAGTTCCCTTTGAAGCTCCTCGATTTGCCGCTTCTGTTCGCGCACAATTTCTTCCTGGGTTTTAACGTCGTTATGCATTATGGTGGGACTCAAGGGATTGCAAATTTCCATGGGTTCCGATTTTATATCCGTCTCTGTCTTTATCGGAGATCCTCCACAGATGTCGGTGTGCTGCGAACTCTCATCGGCGGATGAAGGAACCATAGAGCTCGTATCTTGATTAGTGTTGTTGTTTAAATTGCTTTTTAAGCGCTCGATTAGATGGGGTTTAGAGCCGGAAACGGGGAGGTTGCGTCGCTTCAGCTCCGCCTTTAAATCGCTCACTTTCATGTCCTCTAATCTACCCACTAATCTAGTCGGATTCACGGACGTCACCGAATCCATGGAGGGTGCAGGTGAGGGTGAAGCCGAACTGTTGCTGTTGTTATTACTAATTGGCTGACAGGAACTCTCGGAATTCGGCGATTTTTGCGAGGCGGGTAGGATTATTTGTGGGTATTTGTGTTGTAGTTGCAACTGGAATTGAAGCAAAAGTGTTTGCTGCTGAAGTAGTAGGTCGTAGGAGCTTTCGCCGGGAAGAGCGTTGTTGGGAGTGTTCTTCTGGGCGCTCGGTGGTCCTTTGTACTCGTGGAATTTGATCGTTCGCGTTTTTGGGATGGCTTTCGATTTTGATTTCTTTCTGTTCTTGTCTTTGCCGGGAGCGTCGGATCGAACGGGCGATTGAATCGGTCGAGGGGTTAATGGAAGTGGAGGAGCTGCAGGAGTAGGTGGCTGAGAAACTATGGAAGGCACTGGACTAGCAATGGATGATAAGGGACTTAAAGTGGAAGTAGAGGAGACTAAGGAGGCTGGACTAGATTGCTGGGAGTGGAGTAATGGAGCCGCAACTGACCGACACAGATCCGCAAATATTTCACTGTTGTCTTTCACCACCGGCGTCGTCCTAGTAACCACCAACGCTGTGGCCGTTCCTTCCGTCACCGTCGTTGGCAGCAAAGACACCACGATCCCGGCAGATTTCGCGGCCGTTTCAAGCACGTCCAGGGAATTAGAGGCCGGAGGACTGGCAGAAACATTGTTGTCCTCCGAACTCTGCGAGTCATCCTCGGGGTTGATGTAGCTCAATGGATGTTGCGGTCTGTTCAGCTGGCCCTCGCAGGTAGCTCTGTACGGAATGTGCCCCGATTTAACCGCATGCTCGATGGTCTCCTCGGTGTGCAGAATATTCTTTTGTATAAGTTCGAGCGGTCCGGGTCGATGGGACAGCTGATCATTCAGTTGATCCGCAAGACGGGCCTTCTTCAGCATCCGCTGTTTTTCCGCCAAGCTCGGATCGACGTTCGGATCCGCCTCCAAAATGTGTCTGCTTTCCAGTTCATACCGCGACGGACGTTGCTGGATCTTGTTCTTCAGTAAATCCCCGGTCTTAGCCCGCTCCAATTGCCTGCGCTGTCCGTGGAATGCCGCAGGCGTCTTTAAAGCTACAAATCATCACGAGAAATTGATTGATACTTTCTTCACTTTCATCGGGGATATAAGATAAATGCGATAAACACTTACGAGGCATTATTCCTTGAGCTCTGAGTTCCTCCGCGGGCCTCCTGAGCATGAGCTTCACCTTTAGGGCTGCAACAGCAAAATAACACTGGACTTAAAAAAACAAAAAATAATATATTACAGAATAGAAATGTATACGTAACCGGCGCACGTACGCGTGAGTTTCCCGTTTCCGATCCTGACCTATCTTCAGGGTCAACAAACAAAAACATCCACACGAACAACACAAGCACACTACTTACATTCTTTATTTTGTTCCTTGGATTTGAGCAGCGGCGACGTATCGACGATCGCCTTGGGAGGAGATTCTCTGGGGGTGGCGTTAGATGTAGACATCCCTGTTGATCCTCCACCTCCTGCTGCTCCACCTCCTCCGCTACTGCAACCGCCTCCGCTGCCGCCACCCTCGGCCATATTCGATTTGAACCACTCCGGATAAAACGCGGAAATTGTTTCCACTAGATCACTGTCCAACTGAAGCTGCCAATACCCGGAACCAGATTCACTCCGGTGACTGGACTCTACAAAGAACAGAGAGAAAACAAACGCAATCAATTCTCAAGTCTCATCTTAAGGGCACACAAACGACGAATGTCGCACTTATAAAATGAACACGTACTCCTTCTGCTTCGTCTCTTAAACTAGATCGACAAAAGACTTTAGAATCCATCAAATAAAACCAAAAAATAATAGCAACAAGAAAGAAATAAATAAACGTATGCTGCTTGTTTGCTGGACAGTCACGTATTTGAGACGACTATTCGCTCGGTCACCGTTTTGCAGTTCTCACCTACATGCATATAGATATTATAGATATGCAAATCAGGGAGAGACGCCATTCGGAACGGATGTGGACAAGACAAGAGGCTACAATAACACGTGGGCGGTTTCCAATCGTTTCTTGCACCTTGAGAAACATTGTAATTTAGAATGGTTTCGCTCATTCCCCGCTGCTCCAAGACGAATAGTAAAAATACGATCGCGTTAATTAGCATAATCACAATCTATGATCCATGAAAACCGCGCGTCGTGGGCGTTGCGGCGCTACGAACGACGCTTTATCTATCGATGCAGAATGGACGACGGGTGTGTTGCAATAAATCAGCTAAAAATATAATCCCTCCGGCGGATAGTTAATGTAAACCGTGTTTCCTCCCTCCCTAGCCATCGCAATTATCAACAATTCAAATTACATGTTTTTCCGCGATTCAACTTCTTTTTCTTTCACTCTTAGAGTGCGCGCAGGGCGTATGGTAAGGTCGGGCGGGGCGCGGAGGCGGCGCTCATCTGTTTTGATGCTCGCCAGCTGGACCATATGGGCTGCACTATTTGTATGAAACCGGGGGACCGATTAAAAAGCGTGCGGAAATTGAAAATACGCTCTGCGAAACGAACAACTCCCTACTAATTGCCCATTACCTTTCAATCCTATTACCTATTTATAAACAGGTTATATTATGTAAGCATCTGTTCGTTATTTTCATTACATCCACGTTCATTTATAATCTATAACCAAAAGGACTTCAATAATCAATCAATTGACAGGAAAATCTCACAACCATTATAAACGCATTAAATACATCTAATAATCCGACGATACTTATCAAATAACGCTACGATTGCGTTGTCTCTAATACAACTTGTTGCGCAAATTGTGCATATCTTGTAGTCGGAAAGACTTAATGATTATTTCATACCTTCTTGTCTGCAATTAGAGACAGGACACGTGTATTAATACACATAATTTGTCTTTAATTATGTTACATAATTTTCTTACCAACATAATAGCTAGTAAATTTTCAGAATAATCATATTATATTTGCAAATATAGCCCCTTCTGTGTGTGTTGTATTATTGTTTGGAAACAAATTAAGAAGTAAACTCACTTTATTTTTTTCTTACTAATTCAATTATTATTTTAAATGCAATATCAAATTTATTTCAATGATTATTTATTATCATTGTAAACATGTCATACAAAACATGTTTAATCCATTACTATATTAATACATACTATATTGAACACTCTCAAAGTTTGTTATAGTTGTAGCATGCATTAATAAATTTAAAAAAACAATAATAATTTATTATTTGCATATTAAACTGAAGGTTGAATTACATTATTTTTTTTCGACAACTACATAATTTATTGTATTTTATTTTCGTTAAAATGTGTGGGATCTAATTATGACCAATAACTAAAACATTATTAATTGGTTTGACATATAATCGAAATTAGATTAGAATATTGCGTTGGAATTTGTCGAACCAATTATTTCATTGTTTTGTGCATTGGCGTATAATTTGCATACGCATAGTGACGACATTGCATCGAATTCGAAGTTTCGTTATGTGTTTACATGGTATATAGATTGTAATACAATTTAAAATGATTAATTATCGCGATGCGGTTGAACGCTCGGTTAATTGCACAGCTAATCCGCAAATTACAAAATTAATTAATTATCGGTATAATTAAAATCGAAATATCCGGCCACTACTATTTCATTTCATGCATCATATAACATTCTTACTGATTCATATTTTTTTTAGCATCCAAGACAATGTTCATATCATTATAAACAATTATAATAATCTCGTTACGATCTTTTATTACGGTGGAATTTCAGGAAAGCAAAGTCGTAAAATTAAACTCATTTCATCCTTCCTCCTACGTAAAGAAAACAAAAGTTTTGCAAATTTATTTTATTTCATATATATTTTTTTAATATCGATACATAAAGATGTTAAAGTGACCCATAAAAAAATACACTCCTTCAAATGATTAATAATACATAATGTACTTTCTTGTGTCTCGCATACTAACGAGTTTAAAGTTGTTATCCGGAACAAATTCTACCTGATACCTTCCCGAAGAAAACACGTGAATAACAACGAAGATTTCACCGATTGCTGCGGAAGTCAAGGTTTCATTTCTCCTCCGTGGGTTCATTGAGAAGGCGAACGGAAACGTGGATGATGAAACAAAATCTAATGTATGAACACACATCTCAAGAACTCTTTGGAAGCTGTCACTGTCATAGTCATTTATCGAAGGTTACGCTCTCAATTGCATCAGAAAGCTACTGTATTTCAATATTATAATATTAATAAACTAATCTTATTAATTGTATTGTATTATTTGTTTATACCGTTAATTTGTTCATAACATTAATCAATCATAATTTACACCACATTATATGTAAGGGATTTGGTTAATTACCAATAATTCAATTAGATACATTCCTTTCAAATTCACACTTTTAATCCCAAAATACAAAACTAATTTATCAGAGTGAAAAATCACTATCAATTATCTGCACAGTTCAAAGTATAGTAAAAATAATGAAAATTTTCATGAACAGGTGAGGTGAGGTCATTAACGTTGTTACATAACAAATTTAACTGAATTCTCTTGTGTGTGTGTTTTCTTACTTTTCTTGTTCCTTATGCGCTCGGTGTTTACAAAGCATAACTTCGAAACGCAACGCTAAGACTACGTGAATTTATTATGAAACTATAATTAAAACCGAAAGCCGGTCGACCATTTGTCATCTGTGCTATGATGACACCGCATGTAAATTGCACCGCTGAATTAACTAAAACATCTTAAATTATTTGATTTATTTTTTTCGTCACCAATAAATATTACTAATAATAATGTTATATTGTATAATTAAATTTAAAAACAAAATTAATTGACTGTAGCTTTGTTTTAATAAACAAGATTAAGAGAAATAATTTATTTTTATCAAAATATATCCTAATCTAATCATAAAGTCCTAATCTAAACAGATTTATTAATATATTTATTTATTAATACCAGAGTGAAGATGTGATTAGTGTTAAAATTTGTTCTATAAATATAATCTTCCGCATATGTTGCTTAACTTTCATTATCTTGCAACCATCGAATACTCAAAAAAGTTTCATACTAAAATAATTAAAGTAGATCTGATTAAGTTAGTTAAGTCTAAAATAACTTCTCGATATTAATCATTAAAGGATAAAGTCTTTAGCGGATTAATTCGTGACCAATGAGAGTGAAAGAAACCCTAAGCACTGCTCGCTTTCTGTACATTCTGAGCATTTCCTAACGCAAAATCAGGTTACACAATCACCGAATTTATGGACCGATGAAAACGTGCACTTTGTCAATTAGCAATATTCATAATTATCATCAAACTCAACTACAATTCAAATCACATAAAAAATAATTATACTAAAGTTAATGATATTTCCATTATTATAGTTTAACAATGTACAAAATAAAAATAATGGACAGTAATACTTCGCATTCATCTGTTTGAAACCGGACTAATCGAATAATCTATTTATTTTGCTCCATTAAAATTGTTTGGTTTGACATTTTGAAACCGGACTAGTAAATAGTGAATCAGGATCAATTACAAACGAATAGTTGTATTAACATTATATCAACTGTAATTTAATTTGATGAAGAAACTGAACTACACTAATTGTACAATGATGAGTTTACCCTGAATTTACATTTTGCCATATCCGATCTTCCACAAATAGATCGTGGCGTTGATTGATGAAAGGAAATGCGTAGATCCTTACACGGCCAGTTAATTAACACTTAAGAGCCGATTCACATAAATTACGTTCGCGCCAAACTGGTCGAAAGATCTATACCGAATCTCACGTGTAAATTTTAAAATACACAGAAAATTCTAAAATAAGACTAATTTAATATCTATATTTATCGGTGAACGGTTTTTTCATTCTGACAGTTGCATGTGTCATACGCGAAGATTTGATACTCGACTGAAACTCATCCACAGACGATCCACCACTAGAAGGCCATTAATACGATCTACATCCGTAGGCAATCATCCTGTCTCCTAAACCATTCAACGTGTTTATAAATAAAAAGAACTGATTCTTTCAAATTAATGGGTTATGCATAAAGTGGGTTATATATGTATAATTAAGAAAAGTTTAGAATAGTCAGATTCTTATATTTGTATTCTTCATGGTTGTTTAAACATTGTTATACTATTCCAATTAAATGAATATAATTCAAACTCAATACTAAAGATCATCTGTTTTATCAATTGCTGTAACGTTTATAATTATTGAAAAATAAACAAACGATTAATTTCAATATGTATCTTTTATAATCTGTGACAATTTTTCTGAAATTCTTTAAACTATACAAGAAAATATAAATAACATTTCAAATAATTTATACAAATAATTAAGGAAACTGTCACAATCCTAATTCCATTTAATTGAACTGTCATTTTCACACATGCTGATAATATTGTTCATTTTGTTATATATTTCAATATAATTTATATTTTAGAAAAAAGTCAAATCAATAGTATATTTTTGGTACGTTTTTTTTTTCTATAATAACTACTAACGTCGTGAGTATTTTAGAAATATCTATATAATTAACTTAAATCAGTCGTTTAAGACTCGTTACTCTAGCAATTTATTGTATTAAAGTATATAAAAGATTAAACTAAACTATAAATTACAAGTTGCATAACTT